GGTACCAGATTACCTGGTTAACTGAGGACATACTTACTCCAGTTGGTGGTAGAAGAGCTTAGTTCAGTTTACTTAAAATAGCAATAAGGGGCTACAGTCAGTGGTCAAGTGTGCTGACAGCAGCTTTGTTTTCTGACTTGGGGCAAAATGGAAGGCAGCTTTGCCATTCAGTACCAATTTTGCTTCTTTCCAGGACGAATTTATTTTATGTTTTTATGTAAACAGAATGAGGCTCATCATTACGAGGAGCTTCCAGCTTTTTGTTTTACTAGTAGAGCTGGTCCTAGAGAAAATCATAGAGGTTATCTCAGTATCAGCTTCCAATTAGGCTCTTTCTTACATGGATGAAACCAGGCTGTGTATCCATACACCTCTGAAAATGAGAAAATCGGAATTTAGAGCAGATGAAGGCACGAACTGCTGCTGTGTGCAGACTTACATTTCTGTCTCCGTTTCACAAAGTTCAGTGCAACTATTCAGTTGTTGGTCAAAAAATAGAGAGAATTCCTTTATAAATGTCATCATCATTATCATACCTTTTGCACTGCACAAGAAGTAACCATCAAATATTTTTGTTTCTTTTCCTCCTCACAAGTATGTGGATTCTCTTGCCATGTGACCTGTGCAGACAAGGCTCCTGCAGTATGTCCAATCCCTCCTGAACAGACTAAGGGACCTTTGGGAATAGATCCACAGAAAGGCATAGGAACAGCGTATGAAGGACATGTCCGAGTAAGTATCAGGTAGCTGCATTTGGGGCATTTATATTAAATTTGTTGTTTTCCAGAGCCGGAATTAAATTCTAAGTGGGGCACTGGGGGAGGATGGATTCAATTACACCTTAAGGTAACAGTTTGGAAACTAAGACCTAAATTTTCACAAAGCAGCTCTTAGCATTTTTAATATAATTCTCTCTGCATCAATGTATGCCATTGTGCTTTGAGTTGATCTTGAATAGTCCATCTGTGAGATCAAATCATCTTCCAGGGCCTGTGAGTTTTTGAGTCTTTCTATTGATGCTGGTACTGTCTAGGGTCGTTGGTGTGGATCACAGAATCACAGAATGTTAGGGATTGGAAGGGACCTCGAAAGATCATCTATTCCAGTCCGCCTGCTGGAGCAGGAACCTAAATGAGATCACATAGAAAGGCATCCAGGCGGGTTTTGAATGTCTCCAGAGAAGGAGACTCCACAACCTCCCTGGGCAGCCTGTTCCAGTGCTCTGTCACCCTCACTGTAAAGAAGTTGCTTCTCAAGTTTAAGCGGAACCTGGATACTTGTACATAAATGCTAAAAAAATTACTTGACGTAGTTTTGGCCACATTCCTGTTGACCAACTACAGGTGGATTTCTTTCTCTACATTTGTTAATACAGCTTTGAATGAGTCTGTGAAATAAGAAAGAACCTGTGGTGATATTAATTTTTTAAATGTATTGTGGTGTCTGTGTGGCTGTGTTTGATGCTCTTACTGCACCTGTGCTATTGCTCATGTTGCTTAATGTTATCACTGAATAAAAGGTTGTCAGCCTAGATGAGAGAATTGATTTATGTACTGTCTATTTGATTTTTCATTTTATGCAAACATAGAGAGTTGATCAGAATTTATTTTGCTAAAGGTACCAAAACCAGCTGGAGTAAAGAAAGGTTGGCAGAGAGCGCTGGCAGTGATCTGTGATTTTAAACTCTTCCTATATGATGTAGCAGAAGGAAAAACATCCCAGCCCAGCGTGATAGTGAGTCAGGTCATAGACATGAGGTAAGCTGTTTGGTGCTGAGTGGGAGCTTTTCAGAGGCACTGGGAGGTTTTTTTTCTGCTTTTCCTTTTTGTGAAAAGCTCCAGAGCTTTTATGAAACACTGTAATCCATGTTGAGAGCCTCCAATTTTCAAAAACCCCCTAGTATTTGCAGTTAACCTGAACTACATTTGTGTGTTTGTATGTGGCAGTTTAAACTTCCATTACTACATCATGTGCCAAAATGCATCTGTTCAGCTATTTATTAATCTGGAATTAATAAAGAGGAAAAATACATTGTTTTGGGGTTGAATAGAGTTTTGAAAGACAGATAAAACTTGGTTGTAGGATAAAGCAAATAACAATTTTTGATTCAGAAGGGCTAAATAGTTTGTTCCCACTGTCTTCAGTATTACTGAAATACTACCAACTCCACTGAAGGTTGAGACAGAACATTTAACGTAACAACTAAGTAAAGGTCATCTCTGAACTAGAATAGTTTATCCAGGAAGTTTCAGCCAGCTGTAGCTTATAGCTGCTACTGAATGTGGATTTTTATGAAAGACTCGAGAGGTGTTCTTGGTGTAGGCTTATTTTTTAAGTTTGTTTATTTTTTTAAAGGTTTTAATTTAAACAGACAAAAAAAAAGATACTTTGAATAGATTTATCTCTATCAACATTTACCATGAATTAATTATGCAACATTGCATTTGTGAGTTTCATCTGCAGATAAAGAGGAAAGGATAATTTGTAAAATTAGATCTCAGTACTGTCTTGACCTTCACAGAACAAGGCTATTGGGTACTATGGAAATATAAGTAAAAACCAAGCATACAGATTTTACTCTTTAACTCTTTTCCAATTATGTTTGTGGTCTCCATAAGGGATGAAGAATTCTCGGTGAGTTCTGTGTTGGCCTCAGATGTCATCCATGCAAATCGAAAAGATATCCCCTGTATCTTTAGGGTAAGTATTATGTCTTCAACTTAGTAACCCAGAAGTACAGGGTTTCACAGTGAGATATGCGGTGTGCACTCACTGACAGCTTGCTGGTATTTTATTTCCTCTGCAAGTTCTGACCATGTGGTATCCATGGCAGCATCAGCAATGCGTAAGGATGTGTACATATATCATTTTTTGTGGTAAAAATACCACTGGTACATTTAGACAAGCTCTTATCTCCCCTTTATGTGGGTTTTATTTCTTTAACTTTCACAATAAGACACACTTTTCTCAACCTTCTGTTAGTCATTTGGATTTTTTCTGTTCTTCATGACCTTCTACATTTTCATTTCCTAAAGTTACCTTCTACTTCTCAATTTAATTTGTTGTGTTGTTCCTGAAGCCTTTATTTTATGTATTTTCTTAGTATATATGTATTGGACCTCTGAAAACTCCCATTCATCAGGTAGTCAGTATAGAAATCTAGTGTAAAATGCTCATCAAAATTGATTTAACTTATCTCATATCAGGATTTTGCCATCATTGGCTTTTTCTAATATTATTCTTATTTTTACTACATATTCTACTGAAGCTTTGAAGTCAATCAAATATCTTAGTTTTCTTATTACTTCCCCCTGTCATTTCTTTACTACACCATTGTATTTCACTCCTCGTTTTTCTGGCTTTCAGAGTGTTCATCACTCTGCATGCTGAGAGGTGATAGACCTACAAAAGGACCTTTCATTTTTATCTATAGTAGCTGTACCAAATACATGAACAGGATTATAGATAATTCTTCCACAGAGACCATTTCTATTGCATTAAATTATTAACAAAAAAATATTTGTCTTAAAAAAAATAGAGAATACTTTGTAAGAAATGCTTTTCATTATAAAATTGCTGTGAGAAACAGATTACTACCTTATTTAGGGCAGACATTTCCAAATTACAAAATAAATACAGTGCATTTAGAATAAAGCCAAATTTTTTCTGTTATTTGCTGAGTTATTCGCATCTACAGGTTTTTGTGCTGTGGGTTCTTGATTGAGATAGTATGTTTTGTATTAACTAAGGCTAAATTCTTGCATTCTTAGTTCAGAAAGCTAATTAAAAGTGCACTTAAAAACATCTGGTACCCTTGTAAAAATGGTAACGATTAATTTTTTTCATCACTTATGACTTAAAATACATTTTTAAATTTTCCAGGTCACAGCTTCCCAGCTCTCTGCATCCAGTAATAAGTGTTCAATCCTGATTCTAGCAGACGGTGAGAATGAAAAAAGCAAGTGGGTAGGAGTGTTGAATGAATTGCATAGGATCTTGAAGAAGAACAAACTCAAAGACCGCTCAGTCTATGTTCCCAAAGAAGCTTATGACAGCACCTTACCCCTCATCAAAACAACACAGTCAGCAGCAATCATAGGTATGAAATGAATAAGAAGAAAACTCTTAAGAAAATGGGTGTGCTAAAACCATGTGCTTTTTTTTGCCTTTCCCCTCCCCTCCCCCCCCAAAAAAAGTGTTAAGTGGTGTCATCTACTGAGTAGAGAGTAATACATAGTGGTTTTATCCCATATGGAAATGTGTTTGGGTTTAAGAGAGAAGTGCAATTCACTACCCAGTACTTTTGTCAGATCTTTAAGAATAGTCCCCCTATTCACACATATTCATAATTATGAATTATTTTGACTGAAAATTGGACGTTACTCTTTTGTGATTCTGTAAACATAATTCATTAACTGGGCAAAATTTGCACCGTAGAATAGATGGAAATCACTGACTTTACAAAATCTCGTTGTAGGTCCAGAGAGAAAACATTGCTTGTTAAAAATGATGCTTCTTGGTGTTACTTCTACTAACAGAAGAAAAGACTTATTTTTTTCATAAATTTGAAAGATTGGGAGGTTACCAATTTTTTTTGTTACATGAATGTGTTGGGTTTGGCTTTATATTTGTTTATTTCAAGATATTAAAAAACTGTGTCTGTTAATTAGAATTATCACTATTGTTAAGGAAGTACTTCCAAAGAAAAATAACCTTTTATTTTTTCTTAATGTCATAGACCATGAAAGAATAGCTTTGGGGAATGAAGAAGGGTTGTACGTTGTGCATGTCACCAAAGACGGTAAGAGATTAGGAACTGGTAATGCTTTCCCTAATATTAAATAATCAGAAAGTAACTGAAACCTTTTTTTCTCTTTCAATATCCTCTGGTTTCATTTTTCACAACTTACTACATTATCAGTTGAACAACCCCATGTAAGAGCTGATGACCAAGAAGGTGCTCTGTGTGCTTTCTGTTTTGGCTATCCCTTCCATTAACAAAGTTCTAGCATCTGGAATGCAGCTGAGGGTTTTCTTTGTTTGAAGCAGGCTCAATACTGAATTCAGACCAGGTCACTTCAGGCTTTGACCATTTGGGTCCTGAAAATCTCCAAGGATGGAGATTCCGCAGTCTCTCTGGGCTGCCTGTTGCAAAGTGTAATTGTTCTCACAGTGAAACATTTTTTTTTTTGTATATCCAATTGGAACCTCCCATTTCAACTTGTGACCAGTGTGTCCTCTTCTCCTGCTGTGCATCTCAGTAAGGAGACTGGCTTAATCTTTTCTGTAACCTCTTTCTTGGTATTGGAATTTTAAACTCATGTTCAGTATCGTAAAGAGACATTAATGACAGATGCCCAAGGTAATTCAACAAGCAATATGTTTAATAGCAATATGTTTCAGTTCTTTGAGGGTTTTCCTTTATTCAGCAATTTTGTGGCTATAAACTATTTTTTTAAATGAATACTGAAATAATACAGCGGTTGTTATTCTATTGGATCTGCTCTTCCCTTTTTCTGATGAGGAGAAGCCAAAGGTCTATCCAGCATTACCACACATGGTATTATTAACATACAAGTTTTGATTCTGTACCTTTTAATATTGCAGGGAAGCAATATTAAAAGATTTCTTGGGTTTACTTTATAGTTTATCTTTACAAATACGTATGTTTTAATCAGTTAACACTTCAACATTATTGACTTGGTTTTGGTTTGGTTTTTTTTTAGAGATTATCCGTGTTGGTGACAATAAGAAGGTCCATCAGATTGAGCTTATCCCAAGTGAACAGCTCATTGCAGTAATCTCAGGACGAAACCGTCATGTGCGGCTTTTCCCTATGGCTGCCCTGGATGGAAGGGAGACTGAGTTCTATAAGCTGGCAGAAACGAAAGGCTGTCAGTCAATAGTTTCTGGACATGTGCGCCACGGAGCTCTTACATGCCTCTGTGTAGCTATGAAAAGGCAGGTCCTCTGTTATGAACTAAATCAGAGTAAGACACGTCACAAAAAGATCAAGGAGATCCAAGTCCAGGGGAACGTTCAGTGGATGTCAATCTTCAGTGACCGTCTTTGCGTGGGCTACCAGTCAGGTTTCTTAAAATATCCCCTTCACGGAGAAGGCAGCCCATACAGTCTGCTCCATCCAGATGATCACACACTATCATTTATCTCACAGCAGCCAACTGATGCCATCTGTGCAGTCGAAATCTCAAATAAAGAATACCTGCTGTGTTTTAGCAGCGTGGGGGTTTACGTTGACTGCCAGGGCCGAAGATCTAGACAACAAGAATTGATGTGGCCCGCAACTCCATCTTCTTGCTGTAAGTTGCCATGTGTGTTAGTGTACTCGCTATTATACGATGAAGTGATCACTGCTTGTATTAATATCCACAGGAAGTGAAGTTCAAGGATAAGTACCTGACAGATAAATAAATGCTCTCAGCTTCTGCTAGTATTTTTAATCTAGTCAAAGGGTTTAATCCTAATTTATGCTAGTTTTGACAACTGTGTCACTGACGTAGATTGCTGTAGCACAAAGAGAAATTACAGGTCAGAATTTCTAACTTGGACATCCAGTTTCTAAACACATGGCATGATCTCTAAAACAGACAAAAGCCTCAGATCCTGCAGAGGCTAATGGGATCTCTATGCATTCACTACCACTGATACTGGACTGTTCTTATTTAAAGTCTTAAAATTTGATTGTACTTTGACTCAGCATTGTGATTCAAGCTTTCTTGATCTTCAGAGTCATCAGGATAGTAGTTGAACTTGCTTTTCTGTAATGGTGTTTATTCCTGCTTACTGTTTTCTTTCTTTCTCCTTACTCCTTCATTTTCTTTTCCTCTGCAGTTTTTGTTGACACTTTTCTCATTCATCTCCTGTCTTTGCTTTTTTAAAACATCAGTTTCTAAGTTTTTCCTCCTGTCTCCTCCTTCCCTTCCAAAGTACAGTGTATGGCATGCAGTATAGAAAATATATTTCATAACCTGAAGGGAAAAATGCTGTAAATTTTCAGGATTTCAGTTTCCAGCAAGAACTGTGTTAAATATTTATTACATGGGTTTTTTTCAAAGCTGGAGTTTTATCTTTGTGACAGTTGGGGAGGGAGAGGGAAACCTGCAATACCTATCTTCTTGTTTTTAGTGGTTTTCTGAATGCAGATAAAGATTAGCTAAATTTGTCCTCAGAGTGTCTGTGAATGAGCCCACTTTTGTGTTGATTTTTAAAATAGTCTGTCTTCTTACCTCACTCTGACAGCAGTGCAGTCACACTGCAGAGGAGAGGAATGTTTCACCTTGTTTAAGTGAAGCCCCTTCTGAATGTGGAGGGAGCAACTTTTACAGGCTGTGTCACTTCTGGTTTTCAAGCAAGAGTGTGATTATTACAGTGGACTCAGAGAATGAATGAATCAAAAGAAAAGATTTTGTGATAGATTGAAAAACAGGTATTTTCACATGTTGTTCATCTATACTGGTCATTGGTATTTGTAAATGTTTTTTGATTGCCTAAAAGTTACTTGATGTTATCCCAATTCAGAATGGATATATGTTTTATAACAAAAACTGTTACATTTAAACACAAATTGGATGTTCTTGTTAGGCTTGTCAGACCATGGCAGTCTTGTTGCTGATGTAGAAATACTGAATTCTTCTTTAGAAGTGGTCCCAGTGGAACAAATTTCATTGTGGGGAAACGTGCAAGATGAGTAGCACTAGGATTCTCTTTCCAGTCCAGAAAATAAGAAAAGGGAATTAAAGCTAGAAGGAAACATGAAGATTGTTATGACTGTGTCATGGCACTTAGTTCCAGCTCATGTTCGTTTAGTACATAGTCCAAAGACAAAGACCTCAGTTCAAATGACAGTTATTAAATAACAACAATGTATTTTCCTACCACATCGTTTACAAAATATGAGCTTTTAAAAATAAAGCTTTTAGAAGAAAAAAAAACTTTGAACCACATCAGTGTTTGGCACAACATATTGTCATCCCTTGTAGTTCAAAAAGGAGTTTGGTTCTGTAAAGTTAAAAGAAGAGCCATGGAGGTTTTAGGTGTTGTGATAGTGGCAGTTTGCCTTCAGAATAAATTTCTTGGTAATTTTTGAGTGAAAACACATTTTGCAAAGTTTATTGTTGTATTGTGGGGTGTGGGGATTTTTAAAAACATATGGTTAAACAAAAGAAATTATGTATTTTGAGCCCTGTCTAAAAGCACATGACACTATACCTAATCCTTCCCTCTCAGGTTACAATGCACCATACCTCTCTGTGTACAGTGAAAATGCAATTGATATATTCGACGTGAACTCCATGGAGTGGATTCAGACTATTCCTCTCAAAAAGGTAACTTACTTTTTCAGTAGCAGTTAAAGAATATGTCTAGACTCAGTATTGCTTTGCTACAGTCATATGGGGCTTTTTCAGCATGTTAGAAGCCATCATTAAAACTGCTTGTTTAAACATAATTGAACTAAAAAGAGCTACTGCAAAGAAATCAGTGCTTTTTGTTCGAAATACAAGATATGAAATGTGTTTGCATGTGATTTCACTGTTTTGGATGAACAGTCTGGAGCATATGAGTATGTTAGACTTACTGGCAGTATTATTGTAGAGAGCAGTTCCTTGGTATTAATTGCATATGGCTTAATTGGGACTGATTGCATCTATGTTATTGCCAGAAGATGGTGGATGTTAAGATAATTAAACAGGCCTTTAAAAAGCTACTTTCTGCTGCTTAAGAACATTTTAGACACAGGGTTAGAACATTTTGATTCAACCAGTACAAATACTGAAACCAGGATGATGTCAGGTTTGGATCCCTTATTAAAATAAAGAAGTTTCTGAAAACTGACAATTCCTTGGTATTTAGGAGGTGTTTGCTCAGCTGTATTTGGAAAGAAAAAAGAAAATTGTTGGGTTTTTTTTCCCCTCATAGTTTAGACTGCCTTCAACTTCATGTTATTGTCAACATAATTCCTTTAACAGGCATTAGAATGAAATAGAACTACAATAAATTGTCCTTGTGGTCTTGTGTCCGTCAGTCTCTATGAGTATCAATTTTCCCACGTCAGATGCAGACCAGAATATTTTGGCAGTGCTGTAAGGATAAATAATGCAAAGAT